TTGTGTCCTTGCGTTATTTCGTGCTGCGCGATTTTGTATGCGCTATTTTGTCATGCGCCATTTTGTCTTGAGCTATTTTGTCATGGACCACTATTAGTATTAGTATAAGTAATTTGACAAAACTTTATAGCTAACATATTCTAAATTAATTTTTGTCGACTTTTATTTCAATGTAATACTTAAAAATAATAAGGAAATTAAACACTAATAATTGTAAATATGTTTTTATTGTCATGTTCACAATATTAAAAATTATAAAGTTTGAAACAACAAAAATTTAAACAAAAATAATAAAACAACAGAACATACAGATCTATTATTGAGACTCAATTTACATTAATATTAATAAAAAATAACAAAAAATGTAAAAAAGACAGCACCATATTCACTGTGCTGTAGTATATAACAGTAAAAAGTAAACCTTTTAGTCCCGATGATCCGGATGACTTGCATTCACATGGACACTTTCGCGATAAGTTGCAAAAATGTATTTGCATAGCGAAGAAAAATGCAGTGTTGCCAATTGAAATAATAAGACCCACTGATCGTCAGCGTTGACCATATTATGTGAAACGGCTCTTAATAGCAAATGAACTATGCGCGATTTGGGAAATGTTGAATTAATTTCGAAATTATGCAATTATACACAAGGCTCGCATATTAATCTTAATAATTGATTCAACATTTTAGTGGATCAACTCTAAATTGTATTGGTGCTGTATTAAATATTCTTACAATATCAGTGAAGTGACATATATACTTGTATTGATTTAAGCTCTAACTAAGCATTCTTTGTTTGCTTAATATTTATTACAAAATCTTTTCGAAAAGGATATAACACACCGATTCAGTAATACCTACTGTATTACGAATTTCTAAGAGCAGGACACATCTTATTTAATGCTGAACGCGTTAGGCAAGTTTCTGAAGTCCACGTAAAAGTCACCGATGAAATCCATCGTGATGTCACTGATAAATTCGATGGAATGGCGATTAAGAATTTTCAGATGAATAAATATACTATTGACAAGCAACGACAAATATATTAGATAAAAAAATTACCTCCAAATCGACAAAAGGATTTTTGGAATATTAATAAAAAACCGCCCTTGGAATTACGGCCTATCATTAAATAACACCCTGTATAGAAATAAAGAAATATATGGTGTACTCGTTTAATCTACAACAGTGCACGCGGATCTTTCATAGATCTCTTACGAAATAAAAAGAGTAAATAATAATGGAAAAAATAATGAAAAGCGGTTAACTGGTATGGCCAGTGGGAAGTTCTTGTATATCTAAAGCCGGCTACTCACTACGCGTTACTTGCCGAGTTACTTGACTTGGACTGAACTTGGCAAGTACTTGTTCGAGTACAAGTAAATCGTCTACATTACGCGCGCCTTCTAAAGTAGTAGTAGTAACTTTACTCGGATCCTTTGACTTCGGTCAGTTTACCGACAACCGACGGGAAGTACAAGTAACTTGCTGAGTCTATACAAGTCTCCATACACATTACATGGTAATTCCAAAGTACTTGGCAAGTAACGCGTAGTGAGTAGCCGGCTTAAGGGGGTAGCGACATGGTCTTGCATCTTGGACGCTATTTTTATTCAAAATAGTAGTCGAAAAGCCTGCCAATTTATGAAGAAATGTATAAGCGGGTTTTTTAAACATTATTTTTATTGTGTTTGACATAAAACATTTAAATGTGATCCATTATTTATGATTTTACATATAGTATATAGAATACATCATATGTCGCAACCCTTAGATATATCAAACCTTCCCACTGACAGTTCATTTGTTTGGAATGCCTGGAATGCCTAATAGGTTGTCAAGAAAAATAATTGACAGGTGATACTGATAAGCACATGTAAAATGTGTGTGTTTTGTATGATGAAGCACATGTAAAATAAAATCAAAGTATGTGCTGATAAGCAAAGTGAACAGAAGATAGACTTGACTCGCTATTTAAAGGGTGTAGTAGACATTAAATTTGACAAGAATTGGCAGATATTAATTTACGTGTATTTTTACGGCACGGACTTAAATAAATTTGTATTTTTATATTTTAGATAATTGGAGAGTACCTATTTTTGTTATGTTCATTTTGGTGTTTGGAAAATACTATGGAAAGGCTATTTCAGGGTGAAAAGAATGTAAGTCAATAATTTTAACCGGTATTGTATTTGATGTTAATTTAAATAGATCATAATGATTTGTATGTTTGCAGAAAACAGTATGTTATTCAAATAATATATTTAATAAGCTGCAGAAAGTGTGTTAACTAGGTTACCAACTGAGGTGTACAAATCGTCAAAAGTTATTTTATATTTTTGACTTATACCCTTTTCACCCAGCAGTGTAGCCAAATAAGTTTTAAATTTCAAACCATGAATCTTTCTGTATTTAATTTTTGAGTTTACGTACTTCTTATATTGAAGTAGGTCTTTGAAAATAAAAACTCTACGAAATACACATAACTAATAATTATTATTGAAGAACACAATTGTTTACTACTAGTTTAGGTAAAAAAATTTTAACGGGCATTTAAACGACTTTAGAGAATGTTTATAATAAATTCATAGTAAGATTCTGATAATCATCTTTTATCTTTGATGAGGCCACAGACAGTTTTATGGCTTCTAAACCACTTTAAAATAATGTAGCCAAGCTACATTTCCCTATATTTGATGTAATTATTATAGCCGATTTACTCTTATACCATCCCAACTATCAACTATACTCTATACGTCATTATGGCGCTATTTCATGGCGATGTAACATGACATGTAAATTACTTCCCAGTCTTGAGACGTTAATGAAACGTTAAGCAAATGTCGTCTTAAAGACGTCATTTTGTGGGTATTATATATTATATATTGAAGTTTCACAATTCACTAAAAATTAATTATTTGTTAACAGATTAAAACAAATCTACACCAGCTTTAGCCACAACCAGGGAAATAAAAACCGTCTACAAAGTGTTGCTCAAATACGTACCACAAAGAGTTAATAGAACACGGAAGAGGATAATCAATTAAGTTGTATTTTTTCTCTTTTGATATACGTTTAATTTAGGTAATTGAATAATATATTACATATATTGTATATTTTGTTTCTCTTACAGTTTTATGCTCATGGTTTTTATAATTATTATTGATTAATATTATTATTTAAAAAATTGTGTTTTTAGAATACCTTATCAAAAAAAAATAACATCTTTTTAACGAGATCTCATCACGTCATTTGGAAAATATACTATCTCATCATTTTTAAGAGATAGCATCACGTTATTTTACCGTCACGTGTGACGTTAAAATAACTTCATCAATTGACGTTAAATTAACGTCCTCAAATGACGTCTCTGGCATGTGGCATACCGACGTCATATTTTACGTGAATAGCACGTCATATTATTGTTCTCAAGACATAGTAGGTGCCAAAAAAACACGTTATAATGAGGTGCGGTGTGGAAAGATTAAGAAACTCTGAAAAATAGGTCAATTAGATAAGACGAAGCTACACTCCAAACACTCCTTAGAAGTAAGAAGAAGTGTCTAAGAAGAAGTCTAAGAAGAAGTCTAAGAAGAAGTGTCTAAAAACACTCTACGAAGTATTTTATTATTTGATTAATAAATGTAGAAAACATTTTTCTGCAAAATATTAAAATATTTATTTTGTAAAACGGATTAAGGGCAAAGCACGGAGGTCTGGAAGATGGTAAAAGACTATGTGTGAGCCGCGTGCCATTGAAAATGTGACAGTAAACTTGTATGAAAAACAGCGCCATTGTTTATAAAAGTGGAATCGTAATTGTTTTTATTATAACGATTTTTCAATTTAAAGATAAGAAAATAGGTAATGATTTAGGCTCTGTGGATCGGGCGGACAGAATAAGTTCATCCACACTGTTGCCATAGGGCTGGTAAAACCCACCAAATGGTCAAATAATATCGAGCGCCTGCCTTGTCATAAGAGGTGAGTAAAATAATGATAGTGACAATATAGAGGCACCTCTCGGTGACGTTATCTATCAGCTGATTGTTTGACGAGCTAAAAAACAGTCTCTATATATCTTTTGGAGGATGCATCTTTTGAAGAATGCACAATGGGCCTTACAAATAAGTAGGTACTGATTTTAGACGCACTAGACAGATACGTTTCTTGAAATACATTGTTACCTACTCCAAAATAAGAATAAAGGTCACCAAAGGAGAATGGGAAGTTTTGTCCCACCTCCCAATAGGAGTAAAATATATGCCAAATGAAAGATATCGGGAAGGAGAACATTTGTTTTTATTATGACTTCTCTCAGTTGTCTGTCCGTTCCGAGTTATACAGTGTGTCTACTTAAGTTGAAACCATATGGAAAACATTTTAAAATATTGGGTTTCTGAAAAAAAATATTGTTTATAGGAAGTTCTGCATGGTCCAAAACTTAAAATGCAATCATCAGATATCAATTTTTTTAAGCCGTATGCGAGGTTGTCAAAAAATATGAATTTTACTCAAGAGTAAAGTACCTTATTTCTTAAAATACAGAAGAAAAGTTATATCCAAATATTACCGTAATTTAGCATAACAATTCAGGTTAGGTGATTATTTACGATTTACATTATAAATTATTTGTAGTTATAAATAAATAATCACCAAACCTGAATTTTAATGCCAAATGGTTATAATTGTATATTTTTCTCCTGTATTTAAAAAATAAAGGTTCTTTACTCTTGAGTAAAATTCATATTTTTTGACAAACCTCGTATACAGCTTAAAAAAATTGATATCTGATGGTAGCATTTTAAGTTTTGGACCATGTAGAACTTTTTATCACAGATGATTTTTTTTTACAAAACCAATAATAAAAAAGTTTCCCATATTGTTCCAACTCAAGTAGAAATACATGACATGTGACAAAACACAGGTTTTTTTTTGTTAAAAATCCCCTTTGTTAACTCTGAAAGTTCTTTTGTAAGTAGGTGCTGACATAAATTCTGTCCCCCTCCCAGGCTTGACATGGTAACGACTAAACAAACACCCAAATCTCGTGGTGAGGAAACGCGTAGTAGTCAAGTTATAGATTATTTAATTTAGCTGAAATCAGTTAAGTATCCCTGATACTTATCAAGGTAACAAGTAAGCAAAAATCCAAATACTGTGGTGAGGAAATGAGTAGTTGTCAAGTTATAGATGCTTTAATTTACCTATAGTTTAGCTGAAAACAGTTACTGAGTAACTGTTGCCATAGGGACACTTGTCATTGTAACAAATGAACAAAAACTCATATCTCGAATTGAAAAAATGCATAGTTGTCAAATTATAGATGATATAATTTAACTTTAGTTTAGCTGAAAGGCATTTTTCATGCAAGCCATGTACTAGCTAGCATGAGAAATGCCTTTTACCTATTACTTTCATTTTGTATTAATATTATATTGTACTAAGTAATTAAAACGGTTGTAATGTTTAAAATGTTTCAAGTTAATACTTTTTAAATAGAAACTTTTTGAAGCAAACTATAAATTCCAAAATATTTTAGAGCTCCAATAGATATTCATCTTTCTGTATAAAAATAATATGAAAAAATCATGTCATAGTCTGAAGCGACGCGTATAGGATGTCCCACCCTGTATGTGTTACAAATGGCTTTATATTCGTTCTATTGTAAATGGGGTAATAATATTTATGATTGTCCATTACCTTGGTCTTGAACCATTGGTTCTGGTCCTTTGGAGAGCATATGCAGGGCTGTGTAACCAACACGTAGAGTCCATTTGGTAAGGGATACACGTGGCGGATAAAATCCTCGACAGCATCTGATAATATACCCACATATTATAATTGTTTATGTATTACTAAGAAGTAATAATTACTATTATTTTCCTGTAATAAGCACTACAATAACAGAATATAAGCACTGGTTTATCGTGCAATTAGTTACATTCAGGATGGTATAACTCGGAACGGACAAGTAATTGAGATGAGTCGGAATAAAGAGAAATGTTCTCCTCAAAAAGATCTTTAATTTTATATATATATCTTATCCTTATTGGAGGTGGGGCAATTTTCCATACATTTCTGCCCATTGTCCTTTAGCTGAAACTTTATAAAGTAAATATAATCTTTGCCTTTGTGGTTCCACCATTTAATACATGAGAGAGAACAAATATGATTGCGTGTTAAAAAAGTTTTTCTACATGTAGGTACTCCCTTTCAATTGGCGAATTAGATCTATGTATCCTAATAAAGATTTTCATAAACAAATATTGATGCGATTCAAAAGCATGATTTGTATCATAAGTATTATTGTAATTTTAACCAAATTCATCATCTAAATTGGTCGGAAAAGTGAATTTCTTATTTCTAAATGTATAATGTCATTTCACAGTTACTGATGAAAATCTGTAGATACCTATTACAACTTGGGTAATTAATAAATTATATTCTTTGGTAACATTAAACATATTAATTACAAGCTTAAAAACTAACCAATCAGTATGATTTTTTAACAAATTAATAAGGCACGAGAATTATATTGACATTATCTTCTTCTATGTACAGTTGATAAAATTCGAATATTTACAGTCATATATCAATCTAAAAAATTACAGTATCATTATAAAAAATGTTAAACCTAAATTGAATTATCACAGACATATTTGTTGAAGTGTATTATTTTGTTTTTGTCAAAAGGTAGAGCAGATACTATAAACAAATTACTATTTAATTTTCCATTATTTATAAATATACAAAAAACTTCTTTGATGCAATTTATTTTGACAAAATCAAAATAATAAAGCGATTTGGCCACAGTTCTTTTTCAATAATCACGAATATATATTTGGTAACAGTTAAAAATCGTACTGTGTCTCCCAAAAGTGCATGCAGAATTTATTGACAAGGCAAACTTTCTAGCCAAGAATGGATTTTGCTCTTTCATGAAGACACAGGAGGATACGTACAAACAAATATCTTGCTTAAGTAAAGCATATTTTCTGCACAATTCCCAGAAGAATTACAGCTGCTAGAGACAGTTTGATGCTAGTCAAATTGACATCAACTGAAGAGTTTGCTTGAGTGTGAACAATGCTAGCAGCTGTTAAAGAACTGAGGCTCAACTCACTTACTATTCTAGGACTTTGAATGTTGATGAGGCTTGCGATTTTTTCGGCTTCTCGTATGCAGGCCTCCAATTGCACCTCAGAAGGATTCCTAAAAAAATAAGGTACAAATCTTAGAAAATGATAGCGTTTTCAAAATATGTGATTTTTAACAATATATAGGTAAATAATTATATTCCCAGATAGCACAGGACGTCCCAAGGACGTCCATTACATGTCCATTTATCGTCTGTACGTCCAGGACCAATTCTGGACGTTTTAAGTATGTCCAGTTTAGTAAATCTTTGGGATGTCAATAAATAGATACCCGTAGAATGTCAATTCTGCGTGCTTTATTATATTTTCATGGATTCACATTCGCATTGTATTATTATTTTTTTATATTATATAAACATATATAATGAGATAATAATATAATTATTAAAGATGGCATTGTCCCAATATCCAATTGATTGAAGGCCAAATAGACAAAAAACGAAGAAGGTTCTTGCAAGAAAGGGACGTTGTTGACAATTGATATTTTATTATTTATTTAAATTCAAGCACTGAAATATTCTCCGGGCTCAAAAAGAAACACATGGTGTTTAATGTTCATTATTCGATGGTATATACATATTATACGAGTACAAGTTCTATCATTTCGCCATTTGACTGTAATTCGACTCTGTGAGTTTGTGGTTGATTAATATTATTTTTTTGCAGTTTGTACCATTTTTATCTCTAAGAAAGTTGGAAGTTTTCCAGTGAATTCTACAAAGCCAAAAGGTTAGTGAATTCATAATGTCTAGCAGGGCAAACTTAAACAGATTGGATTTTCATATTGATCTGTCTTTAATTTTGAATAAGCGATTAAATTATTTTCAGGTTCAGCTGAGAAGGCAAATATGACCAAAAATATGACGAAAAAGTTTTAATAATTATATTATTCATAAGTAATTTGCTTTTAAATAAATTTGTTTGCAATTATTCATTAATTTCACTAATTTCCTTAAATATCCTGTTATTCCCTATTTGAGCTTTTGAAAATGTCAATGGAATGTCCTTAAATGGACGTTCTTTTAAGACATCCTGATTATTAACAATGGACGTTCCAAAGATGTGCATAAGACGTCCACGTCCGTGAAATGGACGTTGTAAGGTGTGCCATTAGGACTACTGGGTAGGCAACCCGTCTTACTACGAGAGGTACAGGGGGTTACCTGTAACGTAGTACATGGCGAGCTACGCATGTAAACGAACCGACAATAAACCTGTTAAATAAACCTTTCTTTGTATCTTTTCTTCGAAGATAATACGACATGGTGGCAGCGGTGCCCCACGGACAGTAGAGTGACCATGAGTGAGCGATCGGACTTTGTTTTTCAGACTTTTGCGAAAGTTAACCTAAAAAACCCGAGTGTTATAGAAAGGGAAAACATGTAGCCCCCTGGAAATAGTAATGATACAGCGGAGGCGCCACCCGAGATATTCGCGAATATCCAAGCGCCGGCTTAGTTTAATTTTTCCCAGCCACAACAGTGGCCTCAATGGAAAAACGATTTGAGCGATATATGTCAGTAAGTGGTTTTGGGAGAAAATGCGACAAAGAAAAAATCGACATGCTTGTTTATCTCATGGGCAATGAAGCGGAGGATATCTTGCTGCAGCAAAACCCCACAGGCAATGAAACTTTCGCTCAAACATTGGTAAATTTTGACAAGCTATTTATACCACAGAGAAACGTCATCTTTGAGCGGTACAAGTTTAATTCCAGGGTGCAGAGACCTAGTGAACCAGTTGAAAATTTTATAACCAGCTTACACGCATTAGCAGAGCACTGCGACTATGGGGCCTTAAAGGATCGATACGAGACAGAATCGTCATAGGAGTGGCTGATGTAAAAGTAAGCGAAAGGCTTTAGTTAAGAGATACATTAACTTTGTCAGAGGCAATTACGGCGGTAAGGCAGGCAGAGTTGCAGTGTACGCAAAACAAAATCATTCGACAAAATCAGTCAGTCAGTGCAATTAGAAGCAACAAGCAAAAGTTTAAAGTGAAAGAAAAACCCTTTGCATCGCCTCAAGATAGTACAAAAAAATGTGCACACTGCGGTTTAAGTACATGTGAAGACAGGGCAAAATGTCCAGCCAAATCATCAATCTGTCGCACATGCTCAAAACGTGGACACTGGAGTGTAGTTTGCAAAAGTAAAAAGTCAGTACGTGTAGTGGATCACAGCGATTCTGCTTCTGAATTAGGTTTAAGGTTTTAAATTTCCCTACTAAAAATGTTTGTTTGATTAGTGATTATATGTTTAAATGTAAGGAAAATCAACAATGTCTATCTAAATTCACTTTAAAGGGTATTTATAAGCAATTTCAGGGTATTTTCAGCGAAATAGGGGAATTTAAAGATGAAATGTCGATTCAGATTAAACCAAACGCTAAGCCTTTTGTACAATCTGTACCCCGTACCGTGCCCTTAGCTTTGCTTCCTAAGTTAAAGACGGAATTAAATGGGTTGTTAAAACTTAATATTATAGAGCCAATTGAGATTCCAACTACGTGGGTAAGTCCAATAGTATGCGTGGATAAAGACGATACTGTTCGGTTATGTTGTGATTATACCAAACTGAATGAATGTGTTCTTCGATCTCACTTCCTCTTGCCTAAAATCTAGCATACTTTGTCCCAATTAAGCAGTTCAATATATTTTTCAAAGTTAGACACGACAAGCGGGTTTTATCAAATTAAATTAAACAAAGAAAGTCGACTTATAACTACGTTTATAACGCCATATGGCCGTTTTTTCTTTAAGAGGCTTCCTTTTGGAATTTCATGTGCGCCAGAATACTTCGCTCTAAATTTTGCAAAAATTTTGACAGAAATAGAAGGAGTAGTTTGTTACGTGGATGATGTACTTATACATGCTTCAATCATAGAAAAACACGATGAGATTTTGCATGTTTTGACAAAAATACGTGCTAAGGGTATTACCTTAAATATAAAAAAATGCGAAATAGGGGTAAAATCTATCAAATATTTAGGGCACTTAATTTCTGACTTTGGAATTTCCGTTGACCCTGGCCATGTTAAAGCAATTCATGAGTTCCCTGTTCCCAAAAGTAAAACAGATTTAATGCGTTTACTGGGCATGATAAATTTCACAGCAAAATATATCAATAATAACTCTGAGCTTTTGGAACCTTTGACTTCATTACTAAAAAAAGATAATGATTTTCTTTGGGGCGCATCTCAAGACAAGGCATTTAACATTTAAGAGAATTTTAGAAAAACCCCCAAACTTAGCATTTTTGATCCAAATAAGACAATCATTGTTAGCGCAGACGCTAGTTCATATGGATTATTGTTGTCTTATGCAGGTAAAGACAGCTAAATCGCGAGAAATTGTTGCTTTTGGGTCAAGACTAGTAAGTCAAGCAGAAACGCGCTATGCGCAGATTGAAAAAGAGGTTCTTGCGCAGACTTGGGCTGAGTATTTTTCAGATTATATTACAGGGGTTGAAAATGTAATTTTTGAAACAGACCACAAACCTTTATTACAAATTTTACAAACAAAAAACTTAAGATTCCTTCACACCTCGTTTGCAGAGATTTAGAATGCGTCTTATGAGATATAAATATACCGTTATTTATACACCGGGAAAAAACCTAATTGTCTCAGATACCTTGAGTCGGGGCCCCATTCAAACGACAAATCTAATTGATGAGCTACAAGTGGAAACGGATGTTTTTGTAAAAGCAGTTATAAAAAATTTACCTATTAAGCCCTATTTTTAAGATTAATCCAACAAGATCAGGAAAATGACTTTGTATGCAAAAAATTAAAAGAATATTCTATTATGTCCTGGCCAGAAAAATCAAAATTGCCAGTCGAACTTTTTCTCTATTTTCAATATAGATACGAAATTTCATTTTCTAAGAATTTACTGTTAAAAGGTACGCGGATTATAATTCCTAAAAGTTTACAACTTAAAGTGCTTGAATTCATTCACACTGGGCACCTAGGTATTGTTAAATGTCGCGAACGTGCCAAAATGAGTATATGGTGGTTTGGACTGTCAACTCAAATAGAAAATTTGGTAAAGAATTGTCCAAACTGTATTGAAAATCGACAAAACATAAAAGAAAACTTCTACAAAGATAGAACAGACCATGGCAGAAATTTGCTGTCGACTTCTTTTAACATGAAAAATGGTTTATGATAATTTGATATTTTGAAATTTTTGAGCTAAGTAGTTTAACCGAGGAATCTATTATTCCTAAAATGAAAGAAATGTTTTCTAGACTTGGTATCCCGGAGGTAGTGAGATCGGATAACGGTTCGTAGTTCTCTCGAAAATTTAAAGAGTTTGCAAAAAACTATGACGTAGTTCTCTCGAAAATTTAAAGAGTTTGCAAAAAACTATGATTTTATTCATGTAACTTGTAGCCCTAAGTTCTCTCAAAGCAATGGAGGGGTAGAGAGGGCGGTACAAACCGCTAAGCGTTTGATAAAAAAAAATAAGGATGAGGACATATTTCTAGCATTGTTGGCCTACAGAACAAGTCCTTTAGAACAGGGTTTTTCACCAAGAGAACTGTTAATGAGCAGAAAATTAAGGTCAACACTCCCTATTCTACCTATAATGCAGGGCATAGTGGCGCATTCGTTTGCAAAATTGTTTTAATTCGTAGTTTTTTTTTAAAATGTCCAGAAGGCTTTCCTGATTATAAAAGTGTAAGATGACACTCGATATTTGTTGATGTTATTGTTTAAACAACGAAAAATTAATTAAGCCAGAAAAAATGCATTTTTTGCAATGAATTAATTTTTTTATATTCTTTAAGATATTTCGAATAAAAAAGTCCTTACGCCCTTCATCGTATCTTTAACCCTTTAATTGTTATGAATTTTTTAAAATCCGAAATTGACGAAAATTCTAATTTTCTTGAATTAAATAATATACCTTAAAATTTAAAATGCTATAATTTTAAATTTTTTACCGAATATTCAAACTATAATAAACAAAATTACCTAAATAAATTTTCAAAATTTTGTTTGTTATGTTTTTTTTACGTTATAACAATATGCTTCATGTGATTTTTTTTACTTTTTTAGATACTTTTGATAACTTTTTTATTTATTAAAGTTAACAGGAAACATTTATTTTTAACATGTATTTTTATTAATGAAAAAATTATTGTCAGGTACTGCCTGAGAAGTAAAATCTTCTTCAACATCTTTTTTTCAATACGATAAAAAGGCCAAATGCACTTGTCGTGATCCGTGAAAAATTTCTACCTGTTACAATGAACATAGTAGGCTTACTGGGGTTATAAAATTTTATGATTTCAAAAATATCCAAGCCTTTCTCCATTTAACAAAAATAAGGAAAAACATTTTTTTCTAATATTAAGAGTAAGTACTATAAATATGAAATTTTTTTATGACTTTCAATCTTTTGCACTTGAATACAAATAGGTAAAGGGACTTATTTCGTATTTTGAAAAAATTGTACGTTTAACTCTTCTTCTTTTTTTTTTTCCTGTCATAAACAACTTTTACAACCTTCCAAATAAAAAATTCAACCCTACCTTAAAATTTTTGGCTCGTTTTGAAAATTATTTTTCAGTTGTTAATCAGTCTTGCTCGATTCTACATCTATTGGTTTACTTTACAGTCGTGTAATTTTCTGAGTAATAATGTCGTTCTCTTTAATTCCAAAAAAAAATTAAATTATCTAACGACAAAAAGTGTTTATTTTGTGATCATGGCGAGGCGTTAGTGAAGTGTCCGAAACCTGATACATATTTAAAATTAAAAAATGCAACTCTTCGTTGAAACGATAACGTGACTGTGCGATTTAATTTGTTGTTTAAATGAAAATACTAGTTACATACATACATATTGTTATAACGTAAAAAAAAAACATAACAACAAACAAAATTTTGAAAATTTATTTAGGAAATTTTGTTTATTATAGTTTGAATATTCGGTAAAAAATTTTGGATTTTAAAAAATTCATAATAATTAAAGGGTTGAAGATACGATGATGGGCGTAAGGACTTTTTTTATTAGAAATATCCTAAAGAATATAAAAAAAATTAATTTATTGCAAAAAATGCATTTTTTCTGGCTTAATTAATTTTTCAATATCATCAACAAATATCGAGTGTCATCTTACACTTTTATAATCAGGAAAGCCTTCCGGACATTTAAAAAAAAACTACGAATTAAAACAATTTTGCAAACGAATGCGCCAGTATGCTCTGGTTTACTAGTAAACTGGACAAAACATTGAACAGCAAGTCCGAGTTTTTACAAAAAGAAAAATATCTTAAAAATAAACTTGAAACTAACTATAATAAACGTCACAATGCTAGAGATATGGACATGCTAAATATTGGGGACTCAGTATGGGTTGTGGATATACGAAAGTATGGAAGAATAATAGAAATTTGCGATGAACCACGTTCGTATATTGTAGAGACCGACGTGGGCCAATACCAGCGAAATCGGTAGCATTTAATTGAAGCCCCGTATTATTTTCCAAACACACATACTGAATTACCAATATTACCTAGTTTAAGCAGTGATTTATCTTTAAATGCGCAATACCAAACGAGAATACAAGTGCTAGTGTTGATAAAGAAAATATTTCTGCGCATCGCGAAAGTTTCGGTAGTGAAAATAACGTAATGAATCCCGAGGAAGTGTTGTCTTGCAGGCTCAAGCGTAATAATAAAAAGCCTGCTTATTTATCAGATTTGAATAGCTTTGTTAAGTTAGGTTAAACATATGTATTTTCTATTGTTACAAAAAAGGGGAGATATGCCATTAGGACTACCGGGTAGGCAACCCGTCTTACTCCGAGAGGTATAGGGGGTTGCATCGACAGTTGTAACGTAGTACTTGGCGGGCTACGCATGGTGGTTTTTAGAGGTTGTAAACTAACCGACAATAAACCTGTTAAATAAACCTTTCTTTGTGTCTTTTCTTCGAAGATAATACGACATAAGGATTTCCTGAATGTACAAGCAGGACGTTTTTAGAACGTCCATAAGACGTATTTGTGCAAGCTGGGATTGGAATTTTGTGGACAGTCTTCTACATGACATTTAAAAACATAAAACGTATTAATTGTCTTACCTCTCAGTACTGTGTACAATTATAAAAATATCCATTTCGACTGTGAGGTATCCTTTCAGGGTACACTGACCAACTTGTATTTGTCTTTCTAAAGCTTTCAGCATAGAGTCCAGATTCAAAGGTTTAGTGGTTTGGTTGCGGATGACGAAAAATGCTCTGTCTATTTGTTTTCTTGAATACAACAGAGTTAAGGCTCCACCACACATAGGACAGCAGGCTCCAGGAGGGGTAATACCTGAAATTCATAAATTAATCAAATACATAAATCAATGTACAAATAGTTAGAAATTGAATGGATACACTTCAAAATATATCCCACAATGAGTTGCAGTGGAAGGTTATTGTTTCACTCGTTTTAATCCTAAATTATTACGATGCAAAAACATTAAATAAAATGTTTCGTGAAATAGAGAAACTGGAGATATTAGAGAGTGACACACAGATCAAACAAGAACGACCGAAAATGTAGCCCTAAATAAGTCAAAAACGAAAAATGATATCAACTTGAAATTTTCAGGAAATACAAGCCCTAAAAAAATCTTAAAGAATGTCGGGTTAACAGGGGTTGAAAAAAAAATGAGAAAAGTATATCAAAGAAATTTTTAATAAAAATAAACCTCTACAAGGGGACGAAGCCGATTCTAAAAAAAAACCTGATTAAAAGTGGGATGTAAAGGGGTCTGATAAACTGAGAAAAGTATAATATAGAATTTCAAGTATTATACAGGGTGTTAATATATTCGACCGACTCCACTCTACCGCAATTGATGAATTTTAATATTGGAACATGAACCTTTGAGTTCATTTTTGATTTAGTTAACATAATATTACATAGTGTATTAAATTACTAATAAAATTATCTTTCAAATGAAGTGTCACACTTTACCATAGGTAATAATTTTTTATTCCCCTAGAGGACGCTAATTCCCCATAAAATTACCTTTCCGACAATGCGTCATACTTGGTACATTAAAGAAAGATGTCTCCCTTGAAATAAAAATCGACCTATTTTGCGTTAATTTCAAAAAAAAATCTACTTCAAGATAATCTTAGATACGGCCGGTCGCCATCCTTAATGAACCACTCTGGACATGCTGATTTTTGTTTAGAAGCATATTTTTGAAACACTGTTCATTTTAGAAAAGGTTTTTACTTTTGTAACTAACAGAGAAAAAAATAAATAAAAAAATGTTTCTTCCAGTGGCGTAAAAAATAGGGAGAAAACATTGTAACTTACCTTGATAGTGCGCCATTGGTAAAAAATTTCAAAAGTTAGTTTATATTCAAATATTACTGTCTTAAAGAGCATATTGGTCACCAAATTTGAAAAAATATTTAAGAACGTTTTTGATTTATGGCAAATTTTGAATTTTAATTTAAAACTTTCAACACCCTGTATCTCGGTAACTAAGTTCTTTAAGGGTTCATGTTTCTATATTAAAATTCATCAGTTAATGAGAGCTCTCTGGGGTAGAGCGTTGTCGGTCGAATATACTAACACCTTGTATATCTTCATTCTAGTTTGATGTTGAAATGAGTTAAAATATAAATATTATATTGTGGTAAAAGTGGTCTAATTGTAGAGAAACATGAGCGCAACAACATTGAAAACTGGGACACTGCTGTTCACAGACGAATCCAGATCTGAATTTAATCCAGATTAAATGGGAATCCATGTGTGAAGAATATCTGTTGATGTCTAACAGCATTCAAGAGTTACATTGCTGGTTTGAGGTTTTATCAATTTGGTAGAAAGGACGCATATTAAATGCAGTCAAGATACCATTATCCAGAATCAGAATATTATCGTTCTACTATGACCACCACAGCTTCCAGATATTAACCCAATTTAATATATTTGAAACTCAATAGGGGTAGCAGGTAAAATAGACTAAGGAAAAATATTATGTTGAATAAAACAGGCTCATTATATCTGTTATCAAGTGATTATTTGTGGAAACCTAAAAGTTATTAGCACAATATAATCTGTTTAAATTAGTGAGGTTAAAGTTGTTTCTTTTACAACAATAAATTAATAAATTATCCTAGGTATGTCACAAGGTAGTCAGAAGATGTTAAATTGTATCAGAATCTCTAGAAAGGATGACAAAATACTGAAAATCATTTTCAATACTCTTCCTAATTCATCCCCCAACGAGTGGATTTTTACCCCAAAAACTGAGCTTGTCCGGGAAATTATTATTATTTGCCGTGGCGCTCCGGGGCGACTTACACGTGCGGAAAACCCCACCCACTATCATAAACGTCAAACACCATCATTAATGTAATATTATGATATACCTACAAGGCTGGAAAAATAAGTAATTAAAAATTATTGTTAGGATAAATACCAAAAACAGGTCAATTTGATTTTTATATTCCATACTTTTTGACATACTATTCGAATATACGTATAAATAATAATAAAATGCAATGTTCCCCGTCTTCATAATAATTATTCTCAAAAAAAAATCCTTTAAAAATTATTATATTACCATATCTAATTGGATAGACTGACAGAATATGGAATAAAAAAGTAGGGTAGATATTTTAAAATAAAATCGTCACTATATTTACGCACATCAACTTATATAGCAGAGGTAGAAGTTGGAAAGGCTTTTCGCAAATCTTCCACTTCATACACATAAATTGACAGTTTTGCAGCGGAGCTAACCGAAATTGACGCGATACATTGGCGTACAAATTTTTTTATAGATGTTAATTACAATAAGTTCGGGTAAATAGATTAATAAATTGTGAAAAGCTGTTGAAATTTTGTAGAATTATGATTTAGATAATATAATACTTCTTTAATAATTATTTCTAATCCATAAATACATGCGATTGTCCGGTCCGCCGGTAACAGTTTAAAATTACTTATTCTATGAAATGACACTGGTAGGTAAACATTACTGCGAAATTTTCGAAGTCGTCTAACGTTATTTGACGTTTACCACCTCTCTACCTACCAAAAACCTTTCTAATTTTTGCCCATATATATCTGAATATTATGTCAAAAAGTGTGTAATTTAAAATAAAATTGACCTGCTTCTGGATTATTTACGAAAATCAATACTTTAATTCCTTTTTATCGAATTTATTCTTTATAGTTTAGTGATTTGTCGTCCAAAAATAGCTTATTGTTACTTCGGTTTTTGAGTAAGAGCAAATCCGTTCCAGAGTAGATTGAGGAAGCTAACTTTAGTAGATTTTTGAACAGACCAATCTCAAAATGTACTGCTGACCCCCTCCATCCACCTCAAATTTGATAAGCGATTGTTTTAGATTTCATTATTTTTCTCAAAAACGGTAAGATATATAAACGTCGTTTTGGTGCCTTTCGATACAGCACAAAGTTATGCATAACTGTCATGACCAAATTTTTCTGTTTTCAAGGTAAGGTCCCACAAGAACAAAAATGTGGTGAAAGAAACAAGTTATCAATATTTTTAAAACCAATTAAAAACAAACAAAAAATAGAAGATTAGAGTTTTCTACATCGATTAGTATAAAACCTTTTTACGAGATTTTTACGGAATTTACAGTACATATCATCCAGTAGATAGTTATCGTGTGTAAACCTGTCAATAATACACCATAATAAATAACACAGATCAAAAATAAATTATTGCCACAAAATTCATTATAAATTAGAGACTTTTTAAGGATTATGGAACTCCGTTTCAAGGAACATCATCACAATTATTTGCCCTTGACAGCCAAATAATATTCGTTAACTATGAATATTTAAATTGTTTATTCACAGAGGGTATATATCTGTGCCAACAGTTTTTTAATGAGAGCATCCTGCATTCAAAGACCATTATGGATCCAATCGCAAACAATAACGCTCCATTTAAAAATAAAAAAATAATCACAAATAACAAAATATCAAAAAATAAAAAAAAAATAAAAAACTAAATAAAAAACTAGATAAAAAAACTAAATAAAAAACTAAACAAAAAACTAAACAAAAAACCCCTTCTAAATAAGGCGAACTCAGACGTTAATTTATTTAGTAGCATCTGAAAAAACCCGTACCGTTGGGAATTTACCCCCAATAATGAATGCTTTGGCACTGCATATTAAGCGATTTTTTTTCAAGCAGGATTTGTTTGGGGTAACCTGTGCCAATCAGTGATAAAACTTCCATGTCCATCTAAATCGGAATGGACTCTACTATGAACCAATACGAAAAATTAATAAATATTATCGACTTTTTTATTTAAATGCAAATGCTTTTTAAAAAAATTTTAATGCACTATGAGCATGGGCGAAGTTAGGGGGGGGCTTGGGGGGGCTTGGGGGGGCTAAGCCCCCCCAAAAATCAAATTAGCCCCCCCAAAAATAATTCGAACATTTATCGCACATCTATCCACACATTTCAGATTTCAGAACAGAAATTAATAAATAAAGAAAAATCGTGCCATTTGATTGATTCTGAAATTTTACATTTAGTTCAGGAAGCAGTGAATTTTACTCGTACTCATTTTTCCAATCGGTGTATATGAAAATAAACTGTTCTCTTAGTGACAAAAAACAAACATTTTGAGTCTGACACTTATTTTCCCAGTCATAAATATTTTAAATTTACTAAACTAGAACATAAAGCTTATAAAAATAGCAATTTGGAATATCTCAGATAGTGGAAAGTGTGTGTGGCAGAAAATTTAGCATATAAATTGATACAATCATGAACTGTTAATAATAATAAGTCTGGCTGATTTACGAAATTGACAAATGAGTCTGGTAATATCTTCAAAATCGAAAAAATATATTTTTGCTTTTATTTTCCCGGGTTTGAAAATTTGTCATGTGATAGATTCTATTACAATTTTACAGCTCTATTTTATAGCAGATCAAATACCGTTATTTTCAAACGCTTCCATGAAAAATGTCCGGAAATTTTTCTTTTGGTGGGTACCCTGAACGAAATTATACTGAAAATTTTTTTGACAGTTGAGAAGCTCTTTTATGCATATGTTTTAAATGTTGTTCTATGGCCAGCTTTGAAAATTTGATTTTAGTCGTTTTAATGTATGTCTGTCAAGTTTTGAAATTTGGATATTTTGGTGTAAAATTTTCTTACCCAATACCTACCACTGGTGCCTAAATTATTATCAGTAAATTTTTGCTCACTCACGCATATTTTAAGAAAAATATCAATCGTCTTCGACTCAGGATAAATTTCAAAATATTCGTAAGTTCGAAAAAAATTTCGGAAATAATTTAGGCACTAGTGGTATTCTAAGTGAAAATATAGGTCTGGCTGACAATTAAAATCACGAAGGTCTGTCAGACTCACAAGTAGTGTCCGGCCGAAGGTTCGGTTACGGTTTTGGCCAACTTCGGCTTAAAATAAGAGTTTCGACTACAGTTTCGGTTTCGGCGGAAAACTGGCCGAAACTGCAGCCAACTACGAAACTACTTTCGAAAGTTTTCGTATCACACTTGGTTGTGTCCGGCACAATGGCGACTGTGCCTGGTGTCATTCCTACACAGTGCACGTACTTCTCTGCTTTGTTTCAAGTGAACAGTCTTCAGTGCTCCTGCCCTAATTTATTCGTATCAAAGGAGCATTTTTTTAGGTGAAACGAGGAAAAAATATTATTTCTAGCCTACAACGTTAGACTGTTTACTTATGAATATTAATTTAATTATAAGTAACAAACATATTTAATTATCTGAATTTGTTTTTTTTTAAATAACAATTACATTATATATAATTCCCTTCATAATACTATTTTTTGTTACAAAAAATCTAGAGACAGATGCAGAAATTCACTTATTTTTTTTTTGTTTCAAAAGTAATAAAAAAAAACATTGTCAATAAATTTATTAATGGCTTCTTTGGATCACATAAATAAATAGGTAATAAGTAAATGTAGCTAAAATTTATAATACGAGTTAATTAGTCTTAAACAAAGATATTGCAAATTTCAATAAGAGATTGCCTTAAAAGAAAGTTCTTATTTCTGTTTCGGTTTCGACCGAAACTAAGAAAGGAGCCGAAATTGGGTTTCGGTTATAAAACCGTATTTCGGTCGGACCTGACAAGCCAGGTAGTTAAACGAGGAGAGGAATAGTAATCGAACGTGCAGAATTTAGCGCGCCTGACGATCATTAGACAAGTCTGGCAAGGCTTTCGGGGTATTCCACATTAGCCAGATTGTATTTTAAGCTGTTATCATAATATACATTTTTCTAGTACTGAGGACACTTGTAACAGGGATCCTTACTGGGCATTGCCAACTAAAAGGACACCTTAGTAAACTTAGAGTAGTAGAAAATAGTGAGTGAAGATTCTGTGAGGAGAAGGACGAAACTTTCATTTACATTCTAAGTGAATGTGTAGCACTCCAGAATCCAAGGGCACTATACCTAGGAGCATATCAAATAGAAACTTGAAGCCACTCCAAATCCTACACTTCCTTGAGAAGATATAATTGAAAGGGTCGTTGTAGGCATTGAGACATTTCCTTGCTGCATTAGCGACACAAGGGGGCACAATAGATATTTTAGGTCGCAGTGTATTAACACCCCATTCCCAACATAACATAACATAGCGAGAAAACTGCAAAATAATGAAATCCACAAATCCCAGTTCATATTTTGGACATCTAACTACTATTATTTTTAAAATTTTAAATTCTGACAAACTGTCAGTATATTTTTTAGTCATTAAGAATACATATACGTTAAAATTAGTTATTTTTGTTTAGAATCGATAAAAAATAACATTTTAATTTTATTTGGGCCACATTTAAAAAAGTAAATTTTAATCAAATCGTATGAAACTAATTTAATTACGAGTATTAAAATTAAAAACCTAAAAGTGGCGGTGGAGCGGAGGACAGAGCATTTGCCTTCCACGCGAATAGCCTGGGTTCGAATCTGGACTATAGGGGCTAATTTTTTTTTATGTTTTTTATTTTATAAATTAATAAAATTTATAAATTATTTTAAAATGGCTTATTTTGTCTAAATCTAAAATAATTTTTTAAATTTGTAGATTTTCGTTAGTAGTTCGTAGAAAAAATATACTGCACAACTCGAGTGGATTGTCTATATCTACTCTTGTTGCGAAAATTAGGGAAATTTTTGTGATGAAAATTATTCAGTTTTTTCACTTATATATGATATTTTATTCATTTTCATAGATTCGCCAGAATTTTTTTACTTAACTTCAGTATACCTCTAGAACTATTATATATTACATGACTAGGGTTAGGGCTTTAGCCCCCCCAGATCTGATGACATAACTTCGCCCATGACTATGAGATGCTTGTGCGTAGAAAGTAGCAATTAATTTTAGGTGCCGTTACTACAGTAGGCACAACAATAGCAACATACAAACTTCCTGACTTATGTTGTATACACACACCTGAACTATATGGAATACTGCAAGCTTTGAGGGCTCCAGTACAGGATAATAGTAAACTTGCCATATGTACATACTCCCTTTCATTAATATACTCCATCAAAACAATTACTCACAACATCCTTTAGTTCAAGATATCCTCGACACCTGCCACCACCAACGTACTAGAGGTATCGCTGTGAATATCATCGGGATCCCTTCTCTTGTAGGAATTACTGGCAACGAACGTGCAGACCCAGCAGCGAAACAAACTTGCTCCTGCGACTTGCCAGTAGAGAAAATTCAACTTCATCAATACTTAAAGCCAGCAGCTCGACAAACGATGATTCACACATGGCAAACACATTGGAATACAGGCAACACAAAACTCCGATCAATACAACCCACAGTTACTGCTCAGAAGATGCCTCCAATGACAAAAAAAGTCAAAAGCGTTATAAGAAGACTCAGAATAGGTTCACCCATGGTTACCTGATGTCCTCACAGAATCCCCCTATCTGTGAATTCTGTGATAGTGTAAGACTTACAATTAAGCATATAGTTTTAGATTGCAAACACTACAGCTCAACTTGTCGCAAACACAAGCTCAGTGGAACTCTTAAAAACATTCTCAGTCTACCTATAGTGCTGTGATTCAGTTCCTTAAAGACTGTTGACTGTTTAATTTAAGTTAATTTGATTTTATATGTAACCAAATGGATTTGTTACCAAATGTATCACAGATCCCGTGTCAGTGGTTACACTAGGTTTTTTATATTATTTGGTTTTCATGGTTTTTGTAAATGCCTTTGAAATTAAAAATAATTGTTAACATATTTACTTTTTTACTTTTATTACCTACTAATACGCTCATAATTATTTTTATGTTGTTTATCTGCACACATACAATGAAATAAATAAATCACATTTTAAGGGAATAAAACCAAAAATATTAATTTTTAGACATTCAGCTACTTTTCTTGTACACTAAATGGTGTACCATACAGTTCTTCTTTTTATTAAGACACCGGCAACGCCTTTTAATTTTATGTAATTCTTATGTTTAGATAATACATCTGAAGGTTAGGCAACTAATCATACATAGTTCTCTGGATTTACCATTAACAGGGAAACTACGAAAAAAGATTGATAAACGATAATTGACAAACGATGACTGTCAATTTACTTTCATTAATAGTGTTAAAATAGCTATTAAGAGCGAAAAGTGATCTTTGTTGCTTGAATAAGAACGTAGAACGAAACCTAACACTATTTTTACCAAATGTATTAATTTTGTTACTTTTATTATTTAAAAAAATGTACTCACCAACACAATTTGGACTCTGCAACTCTGGACATTTAACGCCAGGACACTGCTTAGCCTTGACGTTCGTTAACAATCCCATTGCTACACAAGGTCCTTCGTAATCCACGGAAACCATATCTGCAATTGCGGCACATTCTGATATGTAAGTCTTTCCGTTTATACCGCATACCTGCGATCTGTGTTTGCATTTTGTCAAACAAGGACCTCTGTAGGCTAATTTGGCGTTGTGATGAGCTAATAGACAGGAATTATCGTATTCATTATTGTCAATGTCACAAACTGGGTCTAGTGGAAGATGAGAACAGTTTGAAGATCCATTTACTAAAATAAGTATGGTTTGTTACACATTTTGGTTGCAGTTGAAGCTAGATTATATTCAAATACATATTTTATTGGAATTTGTAGTACTTACTGCATTCATACTGCTTGCATGGTTTGTGCATGAGAGTTAAACAAATTTGCGGATTTGGAACACACTTTTGTCCCACTGGACATGTGTTGGTCTTGCAAGGATCTTGACAAGGATAATATTTAATGTCAGCATCGTTCAGGTCTGCACATCTGAAATAATATGTCAATAATCAGAATAATGACAAAAAACGTGGTTCAAAAACCTAAAATACTTTAAAATCAAAATAATAAAAAGTATGTTTTATTTCTTTGCAATCTAAATAAAGACACGTGCGGGAAATTTTAAAAAACATTAGAGATTACTAGTTAGGTAACAATTTCGTGACCATTACACACTGGAAGATCTGGGGTCCTGCTGGAGGCGTGTCCATAGAGTTCAGTTTGAAACGGCTCAAAAAGCAATGCTCATAATAAAGAATTGCATTTAGTGGATAGATTTAAATACGGTCTTTGATAGCATACTAACCGTAGCCTAAGAACCCGGTCACAGAAGACAAGGGCAAATGAAGAGGATTATTTACTTGCCCAAGAAGGAGACTAAAAGGTTATTTTATTGGCCCAGAACCTTTATGTGATGTCACAAAGCAGTGGATGTTAAATGTATCTCAGTACATAATGGTGTAACAATTTTAGAATAGAGACAGTCCAGGGAGTTCTTAAAACGACCATCATCAAAATAGGAATAGAAAAAATTGTAGAGTAGTAGGCCTATTAACAGAACATTGTATGTAGGCTTAGCAAATACATGTATAACATCAGTCTGGCAGAATAGACCTTGTGCCGATTCTGTTAGGGTGAAGTGGAAATTGCAGTATTGAAGAGCTACTGACTAGACGAAGTAATCTAACTAATTAGTAAATTAAGTAACTAACTAATAAGTAATTAATAGCATTAAAGTGAGGCAGTTATAGGAAGAAGTAATAAAGACAAATTACGAATATAAATGCTATGAAACCAGTATAAAAAGATATATAGGTTATAAAATCATGTTGAAAGATTTTGGCAAAAGTTCTAATTAATATACAGCATCAAAGAAGAAACATTACTAAAAATTGGACTATACAGGGTGCTACATAACCGTAGAAAGAGATATACATCAGGGATGAAAATATGTCAGGACTTTCCGTTGCCAGGTAATCGAAGATGTAATTTTTTTTCATAAAAATTAATATTTAAAAAAGGCCACAAAAATTTAAATATACATTTTTTGAAAATTTTCTTGCAACATGTAAGCAAAGGACAGTAACCTATCGTGTAAACATTTCCAATTTAAACCATATCAGAGTGTTTTCAATAAACCAATAAATATCCATTATATTATAAATATATGTTTTAGTTAGAAAAATCTGATTTAAATAAACTTACTTAGCCAAACAGGTAGATGGATATGTAACGCCATTTCTGCCACAAACAGGCACGTAATGTGGAGGACAATTACATGGTAAGGTTGTGTAACCGGTATTCTTTCCACTCAGACTGGTACTTTCACATTGTTTCTTACTGCATATAGTCTCTCCAGCATAACAACTACATTTGTTGCATTCGATGTTAAAAACTGTCCCATGGAGTTCCTGAGTGTTTCCCAACAAACATGACGTTAAAGTGAAGCAGAGGAGCCGTAGACATTCATCTATTTTATTTTTGTTGCATTTGCAGATTCTGACACAGCCTTCGGCGCTGTTTGGAGTTGGGATCCAAACGTAAGTACCATCTGGAACCATAAATTGAGATACTTCGCCTAAAAAATATAACATTATTTTATGTTATACGGTATTAATATGTTTATCAGCTTACCTAATTTACATCCAGGTTGACAAATATAGGGTTTACAGCTAATTCCATGTATGCAGTTTCTATTTATTGTGCATACTTCGTGTGGTTCACAGGGATTTCCTTTACAAGGACTGAAAACTTGTCCAGTTATTCTTGACGATTGATATGACGATGGATTCAGATATGTTTGAAGTCTTACACATGAATCGTTAGGATCTTCTGGAGAAATATTTTCGCAAATTGATTCTGGAGAATGTATAGGTGACACTCTTGTCCAATCCACACACTGGGAAAGAATATCCAAGCACACGTCACGGCAAATTTGATTTGCGTGAGATGTTCTTGAACAAGGTTTGATCTGAAGAGTACAGGCAACGGCTTTCCAAATATTTTGGGAACACTTAGAGATGCTCTTAAGAGGAAGGGTGAGGCCAGCCGCTAAAAATTTTATTTAAATAAGTATTTCTTAAAAAAAAGATTCGAATTAAATTTACCCAAAGAAATATTATTTTGAGTCTGCCAAAGAGCAACATCATTTCTCGCGGCTTCATCTGCTTGTGTGTTGCAGGATCGAAATAGTTCTGTAGGTTTGTTATTGAAATTAGTGCAGAAACTCAGTCCATCACAACCAAGTTCACAGGGTTCATCAACTAAAAAATATTTGTTATTGTAATAACGGCGATTTATATGAGAACATATTTGTTTGCAAAACAGTTTCCTTTTACCTTCATCTATACAAGATCTTAAACTTTCTTCCGTTATTTGGCTAAGGCATTTATGTTGGAACTCGTCCCATGAGGTAGACCAAAATTTTGTAAACGTCTTCGAGCATAATCTGGCACATTGGGGAGAATTCGCTCTATGGCAACAGTGCCACTTGGCACTATCAATACCTACTCGATTGATTCTAGAAACTTTCACTGAATTAGATAGAGATTCAGCGGCATCTGGCTTGAGAAAGCATTGCCAGAAATATTCCTGAAAATCCAAATTTTTTATTAACTTTTTGTTCACTCAAAATATTTAATCGGTTCAACTAATTTAATACAGTGAAAAATAGTGTTTTTTTAATCATACGACTTTTTTATGCTTTTTTGCGCAACCACAGTGGAAGATTTTCTGAAAAATTCTTGTTTTAAATATTAAATATTTACCTGAGGCATAGGTAATCCGCATCCTCCTTGAGCAAGACCATCTATTATTTCTTGTATGGTATTTCTTGTTGATAACACTTTCTTACAAGATTCTCTACATTTTATAACATTGGATTTATCACAGCAATGAATATCTAAAAAACAATTATTTTTCAATCCCAAATTTTATGGACTAAAGTGCTACTTTTACTCCGATACTAAAAATTTTAATCTTAGGGGATTCATCTCAAAAGATAAAAAACAATCCCGGCAATAAAAAACAATATATCAATCAACTTGTTTAATATAATTTTTCTACGATCACTATCCAAAGTAGGCTTTTGCGCTTCGAAATTCAACGACAAATTTGACGATTTTCGAGAACTGATATTAAGTGACAGCTTCGTCGCTCGCCTAATTTAACCCTTTATCAGTCTCTGGGATAGTATTCTCGAGTCACGAATATAGATTCGCATGCGAGATTTATGATTTGTCTCACTTGGTTTTCGTTCAACAAAGTGAGGCACATTGTAAAACAGGTATGCGAATGTCGGTATTCGTGATTCGAGAATACTACCCCAGGTCGAAATATCAACCACTTAAGTTACAGGACCATCCCAGGCGTGCAGAGTCGCAGAATCAACCACTTATCATCTAAGCTATGTATTTAGGTTGGATAGTTCATCAAACTGGAGATAGTAAGCGCGCGCGCGCTTTTACAGCAAAAGTGGTTCATATATTAACAAACGCGCGTCAAGGTATCTGTTGCTTGGATGATTTTTAATTTTTTGAATTAAGTGAAGTTATTTTCTGTGTATCCAATATTTTTTGTAAAACAAAAGGTACGTATACGTAGATTATATAGAATGATAAATTTCCTGACAATTTGACCAAAAACTTAACATTTTTATTCAAAAAAACTTGGTTGAAATCAAAGTGAGGTTGTATTGACCATACTTTTATACATATTTTTTTTTTGTGATCTGAGATAATTTTTTGTATAATAATGTTTGAATAATGTTAGTGTAAACTCTAGAGAGTTGTTTCCTGGATATTTGGCAAATACATAAACGTTAGCTAAGAAAATAAATTACGTTTTACAGAGTCGATGGACTCGAGCATGGCCTTCGACCGCGATAAATTTGCAAATTTGTCCGGGGATGATATGTTTAGCTGGTTGGATGGTATATCTATTGACCAAACAGAGGATTCGGAATATGATGGAGATAGTGATGCCGATGACTCTGTATACTGTTCCAGAAATAATAGTACTTCAAGAATTTCAAATTAGTAAAAATATGTAATTTTATTATAAAAACTTCATGTATCTGAATATGTACATATATTATACAGGGTAGCTGTTAAAGATGGAACCAAACATATAGTGCTTAAACGGTTCAACATACAAAATCCAAAATTTTAGAATTTCAACTAAATATATTTGCGCATAATTTAGGCCAAAAATTATTTTTCTTATAATTAAAAAATTTTAAGCATGGCCGCCATCTTGATTTTTTAAATTGCAACATAGGTCATGTGATATACCCTGATTACAAAAATGTATCACACATGGGGTTTAAATACAACAGAAAGGATATTATTTTAAAAAATCAAGATGGCGGCCATGCTTAAAATTTTGTAATTATAAAAAAAATATTTTTTGTGCTAAAATATGAGCAAATGTATTTAGTTGAAATTCTGAAATTTTAGGTTTTGTATGTTAAACCGTTTAAGCACTATAGGTTTGGTTCCATCTTTAACAGCTACCCTGTATAGTTGTATGTTTTACAGCTTCTACAGAGCATTCAGCTTCTAAAGCACCAGAACCTTCAGTTTCCAAAGATCCAGAGCCTTTAACATCTCAAGAAGCATTATATACTTCAGAACCAATAAAAAAACCAGCTCGCAGTACCAGAGATCAATCAAATATAATGATTAATCATTCTGATGAATATGATTCAGATGATACCATGGAAGATTCCGATTTTATACCAGAACAAGAAAATGTTATCAAGGATTTTCATTTTAAAGACAAGGTACGATATTGAAGAAGAAGAAATGCTAGAAGACCAAACTAAAGACATTAATAGTTGTTACGGAGTTGCGTTCGCTGTAGCACAAAAGCAAAGAGCACTAAATCACAAATAATGTGCAAATTTGGTAACGTAGGTAGCTTTGTGTTTAGAATGTTTTGCTCCTTTTCATTCTAATGAATAATTTTTTTTTTATAATATATGTAAAAATAATCGTTGTAATGACAAGTAGTTGATATATCAACCAATGAACATACAAGTATTGTCTCATGTCTAGACGTTCATTGGTTGAAATATCAACCACCAATGTTTTCTGTAAGTTAACAAAAAAATAAAAAAAAAATACTTTAATAGTCTTTAATTGAGTCCAAATAAACCTGTTTATCAGTGGCGGCTCGTGGTAATTTGAAATAGGTGTTCACTTTTTCCAATAATTTGATCATTTTTGTAAGTTCGGCCCAAAACTTTGTACAAGAGCCAATATCGCTGTTTTTATTATTATTTGAGTTTGTATTAAATGTAGTTATTATCAACATCATGCTATTTTCAAGCACTATAACTATTAATAAATGAATATTTTAGTTAGTGTGATATTTGTTTTGTTTTTAATACATTGAAAACCACCTATAAACATTATTAGTTAACTGACTTTTCTTCATAATTTGAGATTATTTTTAAATATATATAAGGTTATGTAGAAAGCTTGACATTGATTTTTGTGTAAAAAATATTATATGAAACTTTACCTACCATTTTTCAGTTTTTATTGTAAATTTAATCATTTTCACATTTTGTCACACGTCAAATAAAAAATATATTTTTTAAATACCTTTTAAAATAATAACTTTTATATAAAATAAGAACTAAAATGTTTTAAATGTTTATTTTATGAGATCAGTCCTATCACAATACATACTATTACACAAATACAAACTAGAATAAAGATATATAATGCCTGGCATTCTAAATGATACTTTTCGCAGTTTAACAGACTCCCTTAATTATCCATTTTCTACCAGATTGTTTTCACAATCAATAGGCCTCATCTCCTTATAGGGCTTGATTTTTACTAAAAAATGTTGATATCGCTTTTCATTTTTGAGTTTTTGTTTTTAATTTTAATTTCAACTCCCCTTAAATCCCCCATATTTAATTAGAATTTTTTAATTAAAGGTAGTGGTGGCTCGTTATATTTTAAAATATTAATTCCTCGATTAATACAGTGCAAGAAAGAAACATCAAGTTTAAATTATAGAAATAATGCAAAAACATGCTTACCTAATATAATCAGAGTCAGGTTTTTGCTCGATTCATTGGGTAGTTCAGTAGTTTAATAATAATAATAAAAGTGTTTTTTAATTTTTGCTGATAAATGAGATAATTCCCTAACAGCCGTTTTTGTCCTTTCTGATTTAGTATTTTCATTGTTTGCAAAAACTAAACAAAACATGTTGTTTATCACACCCGCACAACCACGAAGTTTTTTTATATTGTTCAATCTTAAAAGTATGTTTAAACTTTCTATTTCTTATGGCACATTCTTGAACAATGTTTATCTCCGATCGAGGTGGGCCATTCTTTTTTATAAGCACTGGATTCTCAAAATTATGTCTATTTGTTTTTATAAATTTCACCAAATGACGATACGTACATAAACACTAGTAAATTCACACAGAACCTAAGACCAGTACAGCCAACCTCAAAATAACGAAAATTCGGTTCACGGAACACAAAAATCCATAAAAAGTATAATTTGTAAAGGGATCTCGTGTCTCACTGAGTGTATTCTCACTTTCTTCTTTTATATATCGATAAACAAGGATACAAATATATTCAGGTCCATATTTATAAACAGAACTCAGCCCCAGTATAAAGAACAATACAGTAGCGACAGATTGCGTCGGCTTCTTTGATGTCGGGGTCCCAGTATAAAGAACAATACAGTAGCGACAGATTGCGTCGGCTTCTTTGATGTCGGGGTGGTCAGATTTTCAATGACAGTTGACGTTTTTGTCGCTTATTTCTACACGGAGAAAAGTAAACTCTAAAATTGCAAATTAGCGATGTACACTTAGAAAAAAATTAAAACATGTACATATAACATTTTAATGTATTCTAGGCAAATAAATTAATCAAAATATTGTGTGTAACTTAAATAAATGAGTTCCGGTGAAAATCTAGATGTGCCAATTTTAAAATTTTATCATTAGATTAAAATAAATTACTTTTGTATGCCATTCATTGTATGAAATGTGTTAAACATTTTTTGGTTTCTTCCTGGAACTAATAAATTAACTCTGCACCTTATTTTTTTATTTAAAATGAGGTTATGTAGGTATCTTTTTAGAAGTGAAACAACATATAACAATAATATTTATTAAAACACACAATTACAAATTAGTAAGTTTTTAATGAATTTACAATACAAGAATTATTTTATTTCAATTTTTGTTCCTACGTACAAATTTTTGACTTCAGATGAGTTTTAGCAAATGCCTGTTGTAAGTCACCCGTTAAGCACAATGCTGCCCAATTGCTTATATTACCTATGTATATAATTAAATACTATTAACGTCACATCATAAAAATTAGATGTTTATATTTAACGATTTTATGGTTTAAAATTTGTATGGGAAAGGTTATCTGCTGCGGGATTTAAATATTTAATGGCTAGAAGAATCAACAGTGACTGTCTAGAAAAATTTGTTGGGTCCATTAGGCAACAGGGTGGGAATTTAATTAATCCAACACCTGTACAATTCGAAAGGGCATTTAAAAAACTTTTTTGTCAAAATTATCTTCATTGCAATTCCATGAATTGTAATGAAGACCTGGACAAACACTTGCTACAATTAGATGTAAAAAATATTGTCTCTCTGTATCCTGAAATAAATAAAAACACTCGAGAAGCTGTGTTTCTTCCTAATTACAGCTACAGGACAGAAGATATAATAGTTCAAAATCCATTTAAATATGTTTGTGGCTATTTGACCAAAAAAGCTTTAGGCATACATGGATGTAATACATTTATTACATTTTCAAAAGAATGTGAAGATTTGGATAGTTCACAGATTTTAACATATGATTGCAAATAAAGCACTTATGGAGGCCTAAAAACTCCAACTGAAAAGTTTATTATCTATATATTTAAATTATAAAAAAATGTTATATCTATTTTTAGCAATACCTGTGTAATGTCTGGTATATCGCATAGTTTTTTTTGATATTATGAAAGAAATAGAATTTAATCATCCTTGTCCTAATTTCCCTAACGTATATATATCATACAACTATTTATAAGTTTATATATATTATTGTTTAAGTGCTTAAATATTGTATAAATGAAACAAATCAAAAATTAAAAAACAGTTAAAATAACACCACAAAATACATTTTTTTGTTTTCTTTTTGCTACTTTACAAGAAATACATATATATTTTGATTAGATGTAGTCTATCAGAACATTTTTAATCAATGGACATAGTGAATCAAAGAACATCTAATTCATTATAATAATTTGGAGGTAGGATTTTTGATTAAGAATGTCCAAAGGTTGCACATGGTACGCTTTCAAAAATGTCTCGTTCATGTTCAATGATAGTCTCAACAGAGGAAGCACTTGGTCGATGTATTAGGGAGAAGATAGACATTTGGCTGATGACCTAGATGGATAAAAAATGTGGGAACAGCAGTAGGCAATAAACGTTTACGGTTCAACGTTTTAGAAAAACAATTCTTCTCAAAATGTTTCTCACACAACCTGTAATTCCGATGAAGACTGTTCACATCTATGTTACTCAAATCTTCCCTATTACAAGCTCTTAACCACATGTTGGCCCTAAAATATAAAAAAGTTGATAACAAATGTTTAGATTGACGGTAGTTCAGAAATTATATATTTTTACATTATTTTTGTTGAAATTGTAAAAATTGTCCTCCAGACATTTAAATAATAAATATTTGGTTGTCAAATAAATATTTGGTTTTCAAATATAAAAATTGAAAGTATTTTCTTAAGACATACCTTTCTGGCTCCATGGGAAATGCAAAATAACTTGTCCCTTTGTCTGTTTACTCTGTTTGAGATGGACAAGGGCGATAGACACATCTCTTTCTTTTCTGATCAGGTGCAGAAGCCATTTCAAAAATATCACACAATAAATGAAAAACTAAAATAATAAAAATGTCTCAAAATATGCACTGCAAACAAACAAAAATAATGACATATTTACATTTACATCGCATTGACACTATTGACGTTGACGTTTTTGTCGCTTATTTTCGGACATGCGCAGAAAAATATGGACCCCTCATAAAAAATGATCTGTCGCTACTGTATTGGTATATATACTGGGTCGGGGTGGTCAGATTTTCAATGACAGTTGACGTTTTTGTCGCTTATTTCTACACGGAGAAAAGTAAACTCTAAAATTGCAAATTAGCGATGTACAATTTGAAAAAAATTAAAACATGTACATATAACATTTTAATGTATTCTAGGCAAATAAATTAATCAAAATATTGTGTAACTTAAATAAATGAGTTCCGGTGAAAATATAGATGTGCCAATTTTAAAATTTTATCATTAGAATAAAATAAATTACTTTTGTATGCCATTCATTGTATAAAATGTGTCAAACAGTTTTTGGTTTCTTCCTGGAACTAATAAATTAACTCAGCACCTTATTTTTTTATTTAAAATGAGGTTATGTAGGTATCTTTTTAGAAGTGAAACAACATATAACAATAATATTTATTAAAACACACAATTACAAATTAGTAAGTTTTTAATGAATTTACAATACAAGAATTATTTTATTTCAATTTTTGTTCCTACGTACAAATTTTTGACTTCAGATGAGTTTTAGCAAATGCCTGTTGTAAGTCACCCGTTAAGCAAAATGCTGCCCAATTGCTTATATTACCTATGTATATAATTAAATACTATTAACGTCACATCATAAAAATTAGATGTTTATATTTAACGATTTTATGGTTTAAAATTTGTATGGGAATGGTTATCTGCTGCGGGATTTAAATATTTAATGGCTAGAAGAATCAACAGTGACTGTCTAGAAAAATTTGTTGGGTCCATTAGGCAACAGGGTGGGAATTTAATTAATCCAACACCTGTACAATTCGAAAGGGCATTTAAAAAACGTTTTTGTCAAAATTATCTTCATTGCAATTCCATGAATTGTAATGAAGACCTGGACAAGCACTTACTACAATTAGATGTAAAAAATATTGTCTCTCTGTATCCTGAAATAAATAAAAACACTCAAGAAGCTGTTTTTCTTCCTAATTACAGCTACAGGACAAGATATAATAGTTCAAAATCCATTTAAATATGTTTGTGGCTATTTGATCAAAAAAGCTTTAGGCATACATGGATGTGATACATTTATTAAATTTTCAAAAGAATGTGAAGATTTGGATAGTTCACAGATTTTAACATATGATTGCAAATAAAGCACTTATGGAGGCCTAAAAACTCCAAATGAAAAGTTTATTATCTATATATTTAAATTATAAAAAAATGTTATATCTATTTTTAGCAATACCTGTGTAATGTCTGGTATATCCCATAGCTTTTTTTGATATTATGAAAGAAATAGAATTTAATCATCCTTGTCCTAATTTCCCTAACATATATATCATACAACTGTTTATAAGATTATATATATTATTGTTTAAGTGCTTAAATATTGTATAAATGAAACAAATCAAAAATTAAAAAACAGTTAAAATAATAACACCACAAAATACATTTTTTTGTTTTCTTTTTGCTACTTTACAAGAAATACATATATATTTTGATTAGATGTAGTCAATCAGAACATTTTTAATCAATGGACATAGTGAATCAAAGAACATCTAATTCATTATAATAATTTGGAGGTAGGATTTTTGATTAAGAATGTCCAAAGGTTGCACATGGTACGCTTTCAAAAATGTCTCGTTCATGTTCAATGATAGTCTCAACAGAGGAAGCACTTGGTCGATGTACTAGGGAGAAGATATACATTTGGCTGATGACCTAGATGGATAAAAAATGTGGGAACAGCAGTAGGCAATAAACGTTTATGGTTCAACGTTTTAGAAAAAAAATTCTTCTCAAAATGTTTCTCACACAACCTGTAATTCCGATGAAGACTGTTCACATCTATGTTACTCAAATCTTCCCTATTGCAAGCTCTTAACCACATGTTGGCCCTAAAATATAAAAAAGTTGATAACAAATGTTTAGATTGACGGTAGTTCAGAAATTATATATTTTTTACATTATTTTTGTTGAAATTGTAAAAATTGTCCTCAAGACATTTAAATAATAAATATTTGGTTGTCAAATAAATATTTGGTTTTCAAATATAAAAATTGAAAGTATTTTCTCAAGACATACCTTTATGGCTCCATGGGAAATGCAAAATAACTTGTCCCTTTGTCTGTTTACTCTGTTTGAGATGGACAAGGGCGATAGACACATCTCTTTTTTTTCTGATCAGGTGCAGAAGCCATTTCAAAAATATCACACAATAAATGAAAAACTAAAATAATAAAAATGTCTCAAAATATACACTGCAAACAAACAAAAATAATGTCATATTTACATCGCATTGACACTATTGACGTTGACGTTTTTGTCGCTTATTTTCGGACATGCGCAGAAAAATATGGACACCTCATAAAAAATGATCTGTCGCTACTGTATTATTCTTTATACTGGGACTCAGCTGAGTCGGAGTTGGGTAAGTCGTCCTTGAACTAAAATCAAAGTTCGGTGTTCGGTTACAACGTCTCTAAAGTTCCAAGTGGTTCCGGTGTCACACTGGAATTTAGAGATGGATATTAGCAAATCTGTAAGTGTTAAGTAGGTACATTTACGGATTACTACTCATCTCTAAATTCGCACGATATAACCGATCCCCAGGTAGACGGAATGACAGTTTGTTTGATTTGGTACAGTGTTGCCAGAATATGTTTTTGTTATGTACCAGATTTTTCGAATTCTATTTGCAGTGACATCTAATTTATTGAAGAGAAAAAAAGGGGGTTTTTATAGATAACGAACCCAAACAAGGAACACAATATATTTATATATATATTTTATACGTGAACACTGCCTCAAGCAAAATGTACTACATCTAGTACAATTGTAAATTGTACTAGACTGGCAACACTGGTTTGGTAACCTTGTTTGTGAGCGGCGCGCCAATTAATGAGTTCTTTTGACGTTTGAAGGATATGTTGGCGTGTTGTTTTCTCTTTTTAACTTTATGCATTCATCAAATCGTCTCACTCGTGTTAGGCTCACTCATCATAATGCGCCACAGACACAGTATACTTAGGTATTCTATGTCACAGAGACGCGATCAGCCATAGGGCAATGATGTACCAAAAAATATAGATTAACACGTATGAAAATAAAAATATTAAAATTAAATTTATATTTTTGTTATTTATGTAATTTTAAAATAAGTGTTTTTATGAAATTTAACTGGGTGTTCACTGCACAAATGAACCAATGGAGAAACCGCCCCTGCGTTTATACAAAAATAAATCTTCCAAAGCCAAAAAATTAGTATTGCCCGTTAAAGGGTTAAATTAGATCTAGCATAATAATATTTCTTTTTAATAAATGATTTTGAAATTAGTTGTACCTAGTTTGATGTTTATTCTTTTATTATCCAAGTTAACATTGACTTTGAATATAAACTCCTTTTTTATTAATTACGTAGATATAGGCAACACATTATACACTACTTATGACAAATTTTCAGTTTTTATATCCATTTCTTAAAATGATGTGATCGTAGAAAAATTTTTATGCGCATTTTGAGGGAAAAGTTTGTTGACGCTTTCGATAAATTGCCGCGCTCCGCTACGAGTCATGCGGCAACTTTTTGTCCCAAGCGACAAAGTATCACTTTTCGCTCTTAAAACACAAATAGCTATTTTATATTATTTAAGTAATCAAAATAAGTCTAACAAATTTCTGAAGTTTATGAATGAATGTTATACTTTCCTAAATAAATGCGAATTTCATACTTACGTTTGTGAGTATTTTTGACAGGAGTAACTTTTATAAGATCTTTGACACAATCGGTAACTCTTGGGTTGTCGTTTTCACAGTATTCTTTGACTTTTTGTCTTTGAAGTTTAGTAGGAGCCAACTCTCTACGAAATAAATCTTTACATGCTAATTGACAGTCGTCAGTTCTTGCATTGTTGCAGCAATCTGATCCGGCTAAAGGAAAAACACAAATTAATGGATTACAATTTTTCAGAAGTCAAAATGATAAAATAAATATAAAGCACATAAATAACAATTGAAAGTAGTTCTCAACTCAAAATTTGACAAACATATATACATAAAAAATAAATAATAGCCTACAAAACTAGAAGATAATAATAAAGATGTTAATACGACAAATAAAATTATTGATGGTGTAAAATGTAGAGATAGAAGAAAGTCAATTTAAATTTGAGTGACTACAAAATGCAAGGGAATAAATGACGAAAAAGAGACTCGATTATAGTGCGTGTCACGGTTTAAGCATAATCCAGTATTACTACATTGATCCTAATTAACCTTGTGCATAATATAAAAGATAAAATAATCGGAATAAAATAGTGTTAACGTCTTTAGTATTTTATATTAACAAAGCGCATATTTAAGTACTTTTTCTACGCCCATGCCAGTAAACGTTAAAAATCGCACTGTCAACATTCATTGTAAATGACATTTTTCTACGCCTATGGGGTATATTCTGTAACAATTCCTTTATATTTAACGGCCTTTAAAAATATTTTCTTTTTTACTTCTGTCATTATTTAAACGGATCTTTAAAATACATTAGAGTACTATCTTAAAGAAATCTGTTTAAATAATGACATAAGTAAATTAACGAATACAAATATACTTTTAAAGGCCGCCAATATTTTTAAAGGCCGTTAAATATAAAGGAATTTTTACAGAATAGACCCCTTTGTCAGTAAACGTTAAAAATCGCACTGTCAACATTCCTTGTAAATGACATTTAACAATAACATGCACGTAATGAGATCTCATAACATACACGTGCTTTTTGATAAAAAAACTTAAATTTCTTAGTTTAATTAAATGGGCATCAAATTTTTATCTACGTAAGACTTATTTGGTTTACTTACATAAATTTAGTCAATTTAAAAACATAAAAACTTTTAGCAATAGCGAGATACATTTTGGATTAAAAAAATTATGCCCCTAAATGTCGGCAACACATTATACATTATACTAAATATTGTATTTGAACGTTTTCTTAGCTTTACGTATGAATATATCTGTTAGTAGTGAAAGTGATGAGATTATGAGCACTCCACTAGAGATTTTAGAAAAAGCTCAAGATGCCACACATAATTTGCTACCGCTAAAATCCAAAAAAAGGTACGAAATTACCTATCGAAAATTTATGGATTAGCGACACAAGCATATATGTCCTTTATTTAATAGAAGAAAATAAGTGGGCGTAGAAAAAGTATAGTACGTTACACGAGTTGTAAGCCCATTACGCACTCATAAAATTTACGCACTCCCCACCGCGCGGCTTCGTGCGTAAACTTTTTCACTTCGTGCGTAATGGTTACTTACAACTCTTGTTACGTAATATACTATTAACAATAACATGCACGTAATGAGATCTCATAACATACACGTACGGTTTGATAAGAAAACTTAAATTTCTTATTTTAATAAAATTGCAATCAAGTTTTTATCTACGTAAGACTTTATTTGGTTTATTTACATAAATTTGGTCAATTTAAAAACATAAAAACTTTTAGCATTAGCGAGATACATTTTATATTAAAAAAGTGATTCCCCTAAATATCGGCAACACATTTTACAATTTTAAAAAACTAAGTCGCGTTTTCTTAGTATGCTATGGAAATAAACGTCGTTTCGTTTATATTGTAACAAAATATTATTGTATTCAAACCTACGAATATGTCAGTTGTATTGTTATTAATTAAATAAACGAAGTTTGATACTTTCTAAGATACAAAAACTGTAAATAATAAGTTCGCACTTTCATCTCAAAAAGCATGGCTCAATTGACATAATATGACAGTTAAATGTACAAGATTCGTAGTCTTTTTATTGGTTAAATATGTGCCTAAACCAAAGATATCGGATAATAGATACGCCTTGTATACATTACACTTGTCCGCACCTTTTTTTGACGGTACGCTCTTCCTATGTTGTCAGATCTCTTTCATCAAATATCAAACATTAAATTTTTATTTAAAAAGTTACTATTACCTTTAATACAATCTAATAAAAAAAGGAAATAAAGAATTGAAAGCATCAATATGAGTTTTTTATTAATTGCAATCACTTAAGACTTTTAAGTAGCTCTTTTTACATGTGTATCGATGTGAATATTAAACATTTTGGTATAAATCATTTAACTTTGGCAACCTAAGACATTTTGCTGATGTTGTCAAAGTGACAGATCACGTTTTATTGTGATTTTTGTGGTTTTTTGTAGTTTTCAAGAATAATTTAAACCCTGAACTTTTTATTAAGGACTTTTACGATGGGGAGGAAATGTATAGTGTGCCGAAATACGCAGAATAAGAATGTTATTCGGTCATTTCATAAAAAATAAGATTATGTTAGCATAGACGTAGGCATATACAGGGAATGAGGCTTAATTTATTTCACAGTGTAAAGGCATTTAGCACTAGCATTGTTTATTTAAATAATAATGTTCTATATTTTCTGATCAGGTTTCCTAGAGAAATTATTCAACGTAGAATTTGGCTGCAAAATCTATGCTTGGTGGAGGAAAACATTATGAAAATGAAAGAAGCCTTAGTATATGTTCTGACCATTTTTGTATGGCAGATATTTATGAAAATTTAAGTGGTAGACGCATCTTAAAACATAATGCTATACCTATCAAATAAGTACAGTATTTATTATGGATATTTTTATTATATGTAAGCTCTAAAATTATACAGTAATCATCACATTTTACAGAATTTTGGGAGAGGTAGTTGAATAGGCGAAAAATGAAGAAAAAAAATTCTTTTTTGTTAGTGCTGTTCGTAACAGATGCTTCAATAACAATCTCACATGGAGATTGTTTCAAAATTGTTATAAAAATTTATTAATTCATAATGAAGTAAAGTCAAATAATGCAATTGCTTTAGATGGCACCAGCATCTTGGATTGTAGCAACACTAGTAGCCAAATTGCGTTAAATTTAAAATAATGTTACGAATCAGACACTAAAGAAAATTTGGAATTTACAAATGAGCTTCGTGACCATGATTACCTATCTATATATTTTCTGAGCGAATACATTCAGGATGTAGTTGCTTATATTTCTGGTTTTATATTAAAATCCTTAAAGAAAAAGATTCACTGCAAACAGTGTTCTGCAATTGAATCAGTCAGTTCGAAAACCGTACAAGTCTCAAATTTGACATTTCAAAATAAGCCATTTCGTTTAAAATTTGTCTCTTCATCGATGCGCTAGTTCAGTGATGATGTAATTATGGTTCCACTGACAATTAAAGTGACAGTAGATTTTTTGAGTGCGTTTTGTTCGTTTTGTTTACCTAAATTATATCGTTTTTTTCACTTTTATTAATATATTTCTAAAGTAAGTAGATAGCATGTATCAAATATACAATCATTTAGTTACCAATTATAACCTTTAAACTATTTTTTATGACCTGTAAACAATATTTTGAAATAAAATAAAAACAGTAAAAACGTATATGTCAAATTTATTGATGTTTCTGTTAAAAGTTTGGTTAGAATTAAATGTCAGTGGAACCAAAATGACATCACACTGAACTAGCGCATTGAGCTTAAAAACCGTACTAGATACCTAGCTGTTAATGTAGTACAGCTGATTATACCCGTGAAATTAGGTGAAAAACCGTACATATCTGCGACTCGTACGGTTTTTCATTTCAATACCAAAATAATGGTTAGTTGCTATGGTCAGTTGGAAAAACACAAATACTGAAAATGATGACTGAGATAACAGTTTTGATATTAAATTTTTCCTCCTTTTTGAATAAATATAAAATAAATCTTTTCTCTTCGACAGACTTTCTGTCTCAACTGTCAAAGGTGCTACTTTCTGTTCTTAATACACAAATAGCTATTTTGTCTTTTATTCCAAAATATGCTTTACAAAATATCAGTTATCTTATAACACTAAATAAATTTATTGAGCAGATTCTTCACCAAGAGTGTTTGTAGAAGTAACCATTGATAGTAAAATGACATTCGAAATGTCACAAAAGAAGCTTCCTTTAGTGTTTTTTCTATTCGGACAAATTAGAAATAAAGTATCTCTTGATAATCTTAAGCTAATGTGTTTTAGCCTTGTCCAGATATTATAAAATCATTGCTGATTGCTGTCCTAAATGAGTTATTATATCATTACACAAATAATTCTAAAAATAGGTGTCGTGACATGCAACCCAAATGGTATGTAATAGAAAGATCATATTTGTATATTTATGTATCTGAAATAAAATTATTCTGTTTTTAATAGCTTTTTATTTCATAAAAAAAGATAGTCCGGCAATATAATTATTCTTTTTTCGACCTGTAGAAAAGGTTTTCAGAGTACCCATGTAAATATAATAATAAATGGCTTTATATTTTTACTTGCTCTTTGCTCTTCATGTATTTAAAAAAATATATATATATATAATAAAATATTAACAAAAATGTTCTTCCACTTTGAGCTACCTACTATTTTAAACGATAAGAAAATATATAAAATTACTTTTTGAATGCCCTGTATAAATTGAATATGTTTTCTTTAAATTTACCTTTGATTCCGAAGACCCATAGGTTATTGATTCGGTCATTAAATAATTTTTACTAAAAATATATGTAAACCCTCCCGAAACACTACGTCAATGTGCGACGTACGATTCCCCTTTCCCCGTCTGGTAAAACATGCGGACAGAAGGTGTATTGGGTATACAGTGTGTAGGGCGAGTCTATCTTAGATAATATGATGTCTATGGCCTAAACATAATATTAGTAAGACGTCATTTATGTGTAAAAAAAAACAAGCCATATTCTGTCATTAATTTTGGACATATATGTTTTGAGTTCTTGTTTTATAGTATTTGCTGATTGTGATTAGTTTAAGAGGTAAACAACCAAGTTATTTTTAATGTAACTATTAAAGTAGTATACTGAAAATACTCAGAGATAACCAGGAGATG